CTCGTAACTTTGTGTTTTCTGTCTGGGTTTTTCTTCTCCTCTTCTATGTTTCTTTAGTTCCCCAGTTTTGATTCCTCAGTTCATTTGCTGAGTATTCTTGATGTACATAAAAGCACATTTTGGGATATGAATTAAATACTTTTCATTGACCCCCAAAAAAAAAAAAAAAGCCGGTTGCAATTTATGGAGATAATCAAAGTGCTATCAAGTTGGCTAATAATCCGGTGTTTCATGCAAGGACGAAGCATATCGAGTTAGAACATCATTTCATACGGGAGAAGGTGCTTGATGGAACAATTGAAGCTTTGGAGGTTTGAAGCGAAGACAACGTTGCAGATATCTTCACCAAGTCACTACCAAAGGGCCAATTTGAGTTACTTCGCTCGAAGCTCGGGATGGTTGACAAAATCAAGTTTAAGGGGGAGTATTGAAATTAAACTTGATTTTGGATCAAGCTTAATTTTGGGTTTATGATGGAATTATTCTAAGTTTGACCAAACCCAAAATTAGGTCCAAATTCTAGAGGTTTTCTAGAAACACTCTAGAAGGTTGATCACCTCCTTATAGTGTTCTAGAGAAATCTTTAAGGTAAATATCTAGATAATAGTATAGAAACATCTAGATAATTTGTGATTAAAATATTTAGATATTATGTAGAAATTTCTAGAGATTAGAAAAATATCTAGGAACTATGGAGGTGATATTAGAAGAATCTAGATCCTTTGTAATATATCTTTGGGAGGCTATAAATACCTCCTCACCTCTCTCATTTGTAAGTAAGAAGAAAAAGTTGAACAAGTGAATAAAGCAAGCTCAAATAAAGAGTCTTCCTCTTCATAAGTTCTCTACATTTCTCTAAAAGTCTTTCAAGTGTTCTCTAAGTGTTCTTCATATTTTTCTTCATACTTAGAGGTTTATTCTCTTGGTTTCTTTCGGGTTTCTCGGGTATTACGGTCTTGGGCTAGTGCTAAGCACTATCGGTGTTATCTTTACACTTTTAAATGTGAAGTATGATGACATTATTGGTCTAGAATTTAACTACTTAGACTTTTAGAGTTGAATAGATTTTTAGCCTTTATTTAAAAAAACCCTTAGCTCCCAGTTTGGATCGAATTTCTCCTTAACAAGTGATATCATAATTGGAGCTGGGACCTAAGCAAAAGGGAGAATGACTAGGGTTAGAAAAATCTAAGGATAGTTGGCATAACATGTTGCTCCTATATTTGACGATGTAGACAAACATGTAGTTAGCCCAGAAATGGCGTATATATGTTTTTAGTCATGTTGGCAATATATACACGATTACTAGTTTAAACCCAAGTTTAGGTTAATCTAAAGATGGATGGTGACCGACATTTCTCAATGGTAGAGAAAATTGTCTCATTAGCCAACAAATGATGTAAGATTCTACATATGTTGAGTGGCCATGTCTCCTGTCCATGGTTACTGGTTGAAACAATATCAGTGCAAAGCTCATAATTCCTGTGGATCACTAAATTATACTCACAAATAAAGGGGAAGAGTGTTTAATATTATGTGTGAGTATAGCCCACATTGAAAGGGGGTAAAATAAAGAGATGAGTTTGAAAAAGAGGTGGGGCCAATATCTAATAGCTTAAACTGTTGACATAATCAATAATTCTTAAGTTCTCTATTTAAGGCCTATAAACTACCCTTCACAACATTAACCTCATCATCATTGTTAAAATTTTTAACATTTTTTTATTTGCCCCAATCTTTTCTATCGCTGGAAGTAATACTTGATTTTTTTTCTTTGCCCTTAAATTTGGTCAAGTTTTAAATTACCTTCCATAATTTTCAAGGAAAGTATATAGACCCGCCCCCCCCCCCCAGCCGAAGTTGGGGTTTCAATTAGACAATACTTTGAATTTAACTATAAGATGTTGTCACCTAAAAAACATTACACGCAATTTTTGCATTGGTAGATAAATTATGCAAGGGGATTTTTCCAGCAAAAGTTGAGGTTCATGCTTTTTAAGGGGTTTTTCTTAAGTTAAAAAAGAAAGTCTTAAAGTTAAAAGGAGTTTTTTGATAACCCCTAAATTTAGGGTGTAGTTTTCTGATATTTTGAAAGGTATATATGGGGGTTTATCTAATAAACGTCCAAAGTTAAGGGGGATCCTAATATTAATATAATAATTACTTACCTTCATATATAGGAATATTAATAATTATATTGACTTGACTTTAAGTTTACTAACTGTTTCATATCACGAGTGATCGATTATGTTATATAGAAATAATGTTTAATTTGATAAGTCACTTTACTATGATTTCTCTTTCTAGGTTGAAGAGGGGTTTTCAATGACAGTGAAGGATCTTTTGAAGAAGCTAAACACAAGTTTCAGAGAGTTCATGTGAAGAGATTGAGACAATCCTTAGCTAATGTTTCAGTTATATATTTTCCATGCTTAAGAGAGTGCTTGCTTGCATGAAAGTGAAAAATAAAATTGTAAAATGAAATAGTTTGAACGTTTTTTATATTTATTTTATTTTAAGGTGTTTATGAAAAAGCAATGCTGATTCATAATGGCACTTAACTTCCACATAAAAAAAATGCAAATATCATCCTGAAACTGAATAGGTCTCTGATGCTCACACATATATGGGCCCGCGCCCTTAAGAAAAGAAAGAATCATTTTGGGTTAAATGGATCCACGGGTAATTATTTGAAGGATAATTCTAGTTAGGATGTAACTTTTGAAATCTTATTTCTCTTGGATCTTCAAGAAATATTGATCAGGGATAAATATGCAAAGTTGTAAGTGCACATCTAAGTCATAGTATAGTATAGATGTCGAACCCACGAGGAATGTGTGTATTTAGATATTCTAAAATTGGTCCTAGAAGAGTAAGGATAAAAAATAATCAGAATAAAAATGTAGAAATGTAGAAAGAGATTTCACTAAAATAAAAAGCTAAATCATAAGGAAGGAAAGAGAGAAGGAGAAATAAATAAAAGGAAACAAAGAGGAAACTATGTAGAAGTGAAAAGAAATGGAAATAAGGAAAGAGAAAGAAGTAGGAAGAAGAGAAAAAAAATCAACAAAATAAAATTGAGAAGAGGAAGAGAAAAATAAAATCAACAAAGATTGACAAAAAAATAAATAAAGATGTTAGGAATCTAGAATTGATTTCACTGATTAATTTCAAATAACATTTATGAATTATTATCTTTTTATAATATTTCACTTTAGATTTACTAAGCATAGAATATCAAACCACTTAAAGAAGTATAATGTATCAAATTATGATCCAAGCAAAGTTCCCATTCATGAAAAGAACAAGTAACTAGATAATAATCCTATAAATAAATAAGCATAACCTATCAGACCACTTAACATAAACATAGATTATCAAACTCCTTTTGTACCAATTAGCTCTCTAGTTGATTTTCTTAAACATGATTATTTTAAGCATAAAGAAAGCAATCTAAAAACTATAAAAGAAACTAAAGTAGTTTTATTAAATCATAAATTTCTGACAAGAATTAATTACTCAATTTGCAAAACAAAAAAAAGGAAAATCTATACTAGTAGGCATTAAAGAAGTAAGTCTAAGTTATAAGAAAGAAAATAGAAACTAACTGTAAAACAAGAAAAAGGACAAGAAAATAAAACCCTGCACTAGAAGCATGAAAGAAATCTACACTACAAAGCATGAATTAAAAGTAAAATAAAAACTAACTATGTAGCAAAAAATTAGAAGAGAAATTCTACAAAGCATAAAAGGGAAAAATATAAAAACTAAACTGAAAGATAATAAAAGAGCATGAAAATAAATTTATACCATAAAGAAATAAATCTAATCTACTAAATATAAAATAAAATTAATAAAATAAAATCATAAAATTTGTAATTCTAAAACATGAAATTAAAATGGTAAAATAAAAACTTACATTACAAGGGGTTGATCCTTTGAAGGCAAATCTTCATCTTCATCATCAAAGAAGAAGAAAAGGAAATTGAGAAGGAGAAATTTTTATATTTATTGTAATTAAAAATTTAATAATTTTTCGAAGGTCTTCTCAATTAAGAGTAACCCTCCTATCCAAAATAAAGATTATAAAATTTTTTGCACTACAATATGTCACTTTCTACTCCTATTTATAGCCTACAACAATATGCAAGAGCCTACAAATCATTTTTGAGCTCCAAAAAAATAAATAAAATCAACAATTGATTAAAAATTATAAAATAATCGGTTAACCCATCAATTAGCTAATTGATTGGTTAATCGATTGGTGCATCAATTGGTTTGCAATAGAATTTGATTCTCTTTGAGTTGACCTACCTACAAATCATTTTTGAGCTCCAAAAATATTAAAATTAACAATTGATTAAATTCTATTATAAAATAATCGGCTAACCCATCGATTAGCTAATGATTGGTTAATCGATTGGTGCATCAATTGGTTTGCAATAGAATTTGACTCTCTTTGAGTTGACCTACTTACTTGGCTCGATCTTGGGCTTTAATAAAAGGTTAAAAGATGAGGTAATTTTGGTCATCTTGGGCTCTTATTCATTAATTTCTAATTACTTACAAATTAAGATAAGAACTTGTTATTAGTTGATATATTTATTTAACTAAAATAAATAATGAGAATATATAAGAATAATAAAATATGATAATCAAATGAATTTTTGCTAGTCCTCTAGTAAAGAAGGAAAATAAAAAGGGAAGAGAGAAAAATCCTAACTCCCTTTTACAGAATCACGGTTGTATTTAGTACATATAATAAGCCTTTAAACCCCTTGAGGATGAGCTATAGTCTTGTAAGCGTTTGTAGTGAATATGCCCACAAAATTCGATCAACTTGCCAATTTGATTAAGTCAAAATATAACTAATTTATTTGCTATATTTGAATAATCTAGTTAGAGTTTGTTTATACTTAAGAAAATATTTTTATGCATAACTCCAAAGTAAATTTCTTAGCAAATATTTTCATTATAGTTATACAAAACCAATTCTAACTTAGAAATTTATTTAAAAGTTTTGAAAAGAATATGCTAACTCTTTGTTTTAAACAATTTTCAAGCCTCTTGATGAATTTGTTTTTCAAGAGCATATATATATAAATATAACTATATATTAAAAATTTTCTTTTTATTCTTTTTATATATACATATATCTCTTTATTCGTTGATCATCTTATTCTACTTTATCGGGCTTTCTAAGTGACAACGTAATGAGTATTAGGCTAATGGAACCAAACCAATTAGGCTTAGGTTATTAAGTATAGAAATACTTCGCAGACTTAATCACTCGGTCAACTTATAGCAGGATAGAATCTCCTGGGGTTCAAGAAAAATTTTTTAATATTTTAAAATATTTAATTATGATTTTTAAAAGAGTATTTATATTTTTCTCGATTTTCTAGAATTTTTTATGATTTAAAGTTCAAGTATTTACTTAAATAATTTTGATATTTATAAATTTATTTAGTATAGTAAAAATTTTTGGAATTTATCAATTGTATTATCGATATGGTTATGTATTATTTTAAATAATATGTGGTATTATTATTATTGTTGTTATGATAATATGCCATTTATCAACAAAAATGATTAGAAGATTGTCTCCATGAGCCTAATGGAGTCATAATTCAAATCGACTCAGCTGAAAAGCCTAGGTAAAAGCAAACGCTTTAGCCGGCATGAAGCGCGGAAGCAGTCGGCCCTTCTCCTTTAAGGCGACTACTCCGGAGTCCACCCAACTCCCAATCGAGACGACTCCCCTAGTGGCGACTCGGCTGTCTACCGAGCTGTCTGACTGGGATGACGACTCACTTATCTAGTCAACAAGTTACGAGAATGACCCGCCTTCCAATACAATCTTGCTGGGGAAGATAAACATTCGAGTCATCCAACTAAGCTATTTCCAAGATATACATCAATCAACCAGTCACATCAAAAGTCTCAAACTCTGATGAAATCTTAAATGCAAAGACGGCTCATTCTATTCCTAAGTCACTTTTGGGACGTAATCAAGACACCCTCTGAGCTCAGACGACATTTTCTCCAGTCCCCAGCTGCCATCTGTGAAGCAATGAGTGGCTAGATTGGTCAGCCTATCTTCTCTTTATCCTTATCCGTCAAACCTAGGACGTTATCGAAGCGCCTTCTGTACTCGAGTGCCTCACCCTCCAATCACTAACCACCATTTGTAAAGATAAGAGCGACTCAGCACCTCTTCGTATTCTCGGCCATACGCCATCTAATCAATCCTGCGGCTTTATCGAGATCATCTCGAAATAGTATCTCCTACAGTCGCAAGCTGACACGTGAAAGGACTACTGCTGACTCAGCCTCCAGCTCATCCCCCACCATCGTCCTCAGACCTCTGATGAAGCCACGTGTCTATCCTCAACAGCCTATAAAGAGGGAGGCAATGGATCCGAAGGAGAAAAAAAGGAGGGGGGACCAGTAGGTCTTTTTTTGGGACTCAGGTTCTTTGAACTCAAAAAACTAAGAAATCGTTCTTTTCTTCAAGTTGCTTCTAAATAAATTCTAAAAGGAGAATGTACCTTGCATGGACCTCAATGGCCCAGGGAATCTCCCCAAAACCTCCCTCAAACTCATCCTCTAACTTGACCGTTGGAGGTACCAAGGGAAAACACGCCCCATACCCCGACGTTCCTTGTGTGTGCAGACCATCAGTCCACCCCGTGCGCTCAGAGCTAGGCATAAAGTCAGAGGGGGAGTCGGCCCATTTATCCTTTATCATCCTCTCTCGGTAGACAACCTCCCCCCTATTGGCTGTGTGATTCCAGACATCAACAATTATTATGTATATTTTTGTATAATACGTTGTATTATTAATTATGTAATATTTGTATAATTTATTGTATTATTTCTACTATTACATAATATTCTGTCGTATTAGTATAACTGGTACGTTTTACTATGTATATAATTATCCCTTAATTATTTAATTTTAAATATAAGTAAATATATTTTTATTATTAATTATCCTCGTTTAACTGTACAATAAGTGTATATTTCGACTATTTCGTATCAACTATTGTATTAGCTCAACATGTATGTTTTTATTTGTAGATAATTATTCTGTAATCAGTTTAATTTTTAAATACCCATAATTATTTATTTTAATTATTTTTAATTAAATACCTAACCCTAACCCTAATATATATATATATATATATATATATATATATATATATAAGTAATATATGTATATATATATATATATATAATTAATATATAATATAATAATATATATATAATATATATATATATATTATAATATATATATATATATATATATATATATAATCATATCTCCTCTCTCTCTCTTCTACTGCTCTCGATTCACTTCCAACGCCGACTCTTTTTTCTCTCTTCCTCATCGCTTTTCCCACCATCCGTCACAGCCTGTTGACATAAACCACCCATTCGAACAGCACACTCGGCCGACGAGGCGAAAGCCACGCTGAGACCACTTAACTAGTATTGCCTTGAAAGCCGCC